GTTAAAATTGTACGAGTCTCTCGTTTAGCTGAAGGGTATGAAATGTAGAGCAAGTTAAGAGGCCTATCTTGCTAGGTTCCATTCGTCTTGAATAATAAGTGTGATTTTCGGTATGGGTAAAATTTGTAAAATTTTTCAAGTAACTTAACTGCATTATGTCTTGCATTAACGAAAGTTTTTTTTAAACCGGTCGCCTTTGAGCTTTATATGGATGGAGAGTTAAACAGGTCAAGCGTGACTAATATTGCTAGTCAACGCTATTCGTCGGTAATCATACATTGTAAAAGAAATTATAAAGTTTGGAATAACATATGGTTTCATGTGATGTATCAGAGTATGCGTACTATTTCGAAACCGACTGAAAATTTAACGTATTGGAATTTCTATAATATTGAATCCAGTGTGATGAGAAAGTAATATTAAATTCATAATTATTCATCCATAAGTGATATTAAATTCTTAAAATATTGCATTTTTGAATAAAATAAATTGAATCATAACACTAAAAATATTTAAGATATACTTAATATTAGAGTGCTAGTACTCTATATAAAAATGTTATAGAATTTCCTGTTAACGGTTTTTGAGTCTTACTAAATTAAATGTACTAAGTATTATATGGAATATATTTTTAAGATTCAATCATCAATTTAATTAAGACAGGTTTAATACGGAATTGGTTTGGAATCTTCGGAGTAATTAAACATTCCTTTACTTAATTACGCTTACATTTTTTAGGGAACGTTACCTAGGAATATTATAAAAAAATATTTTCGCTTAACAAATTTATCGAACTCTGGAATAGTTGTATAAATTTATTTTGTGGTAACTGGAAAAATCATAATCACATCTGGAAATGTTTGGATGGATGGATGTTTGTTTGAAGGTATCTTCAGAAAGGCTCCATGGATCTCGATGAAATTTGGCATAGATGTAGAGCATAGTTTGGAACAACACATAGGCTACTAAATATGTTTTTTTTTTAATTCCGGGCGGACGAAGTCGCGGGCGACAGTCAGTATGTTATAAAGATGATACCAGATGACGTTTGACGCATATTTTGCTGACTATAGTGCGAAAAATATACATTAGAGTTTTAGACTTTCACGTACAACAGATGTCTACAATTTCCACTTGTCTCTGACCCAGTAATGCATGCGGTATAAGATCGGAGAAAGGTTCTGTGTCAAGGACTAGTGTGAGTGCACTCCAACACTCGAATAAATTGCAAATGGAAGTGAATGTAATATTTTTGCGGAAAAGTTTGATACGACGGCTTTAGCAGACTGCTACATATATAATTTACTAGCTGTCGCCCGTGACTTTGTCCTGGTGAGATTAAAAAGGTGAGATAATAGCCGAATCTCAAACTTACTGAATATGCATATAAAAATATAAAAAAAAAAATCGGTCAAGCCGTTTCAGAGGCGTATGGTAACTAACATTGTGATACGAGAGTTTTATATATAAGAAGATTACCTTTATACCCATTTCATTTTATAACTTTGAAAGATTACGAAATTATTATAATTTAGCCCAGACGTACGTACGGTAACGAATTTCGTTGAAACTCAATTATGTATTTTAGTTTTCAGATTTCAGATAGAAATACTCGTGGTAATAAACAATTAATACATATTGTAAATTGGCAAGAATATGATATTTGAAAAATTCTATTAAAGTCCATCTTATCGTAGGTACATTTTCCGTCAAGAGTCAATTTCCTCATAACAAAGACTTCCCGATGCTCGCTTCCTTCGCAACACTTCAATAAAGCCTTCGATTTCTCTTTCTGTCTACAATTCCTGTTACCGATTCTTAAATACAAGCTTCGCGCTTTGTATTCTCCCATTCCCAAGCTTAGTTAAAAAGTTGGCAATTTTAACTTCCATGCGGTCACTCGATCTATTATTTCCTTGAGAGCTTTTATACAGTGAAGAGTGGACAAGGCCTTTCTATTTTCTAGTTGCGTAGAATTGCGAATCTTTATTATACACAATTTAATTGTATAACGAATAAATTACTGTAATTTTTATACATAACACAAGCTGTTGCCCGTGACTCCGTCTGCGGGGATATATAAAAAAAACTTAATTAGTATAGCACACCCATCCATCCATCCACATCAAAACCATCTAAACATTCGCATTTATAATGTTAGTAAGTTAAATAAAAAGCAACTCTTCAAATCATAAATTCGAAAAAAAATTAATAAATAATATCCTATGTCCGTCTCCTGGCTCTAAGCTACCTCCTCACCAATTTTCAGCCATATCGGTAAAGCCGTTCTTGAGTTATACATAGTGTAACTAAGACGACTTTTTTTACATATATAGATTTTTGGTTACGGTAAATATGTTAAATAAATAACTTCTGATTGGAATTCCGCGAACAAAATTAGGATACGGCTTATCCTACGAAACGTTACTGTCCAATGTCAATGTCAAACGTCAGCAACAAATAATATTTAATTATTATACAATTTATATTCACTTGATAAACCTTAGTAGGCATTTTATTTATAAAAAGCAATGACGAAAACCTTGGCTTTATTTCCACGGTAGACGTTCGAATTTTCAGAGTAATTAACCGCAGGCGGGCAGGTTTACAGTAAGCTTAGCTCAAATAGCTTGCGGTTTCTCCTCAGTGCCGTCTTTCATATCTTGTAAATTGTATTTACCGTTATTTTGTAATTATATATCAACGTGCGTCTTGTATCACCAGTGTATAGTTATTTATAAGTTCATGTGTTAGATAAAAAACAGCGTTCTTTATGCAGTTGTAAAATATCTACAAGATTTATATTATCTTGCAGGATGTTGAGCTCTGGCTTATGATTGTATAGGAAGTGATCAATTCAGATTATAATGTCTTGCAGTAGAGAAAATCAGCACTCGTTACTATTGTTCACAAAACACCTACACATAATGTAGAGAAGAGAACAGATGTGTGTGTGTGTGTGTGTGTGTGTGTCAAAGTAATAAAACTAAAAGTAAAGTTTATTTCTATTTGATTTGATTTGATTAGAAAAGTGAAGTAGTCTATAATATGCCCGTGTGCATCACCTACCTTACCATCAAACACCTATTAAAGTCGGTCCAGCAGCTCTGGAGATTATGCGAAACAAAGGCGGCCAGGATGACAGACAGGGGTTAAAAAATTTAAAAATTGGTTTTTCGTATTCAAGAAAGCAAATACAACATGTGTACATTATATACAGACACTCCAATTTTATTAATATCTATAGATAAGTAGTCTATGTTAAATAGTAAGTTATAATCTCTGCCTATCCCTCTATGTATTGTTGATAAGTTTATCCACCGCTCTGATAGCTAATCCACTTTAAAACTCTCTCGGTGTACTATATAACACCGAGAGAGGTTTCATAAACTCGCTTTAGTAACTTAAAATACGATGCCAAATTATAGGAACGCTGAAATTTTCCTTGTCCGTTCAAATTAATTTATTTTTGGATACCTAAAATGTAATGAACAAAACGCTATATAAAATATTCTGCAGCTGCTGTCGAGTAGACGGACTAACAATACCCGTGTTCATGCTTTTAACATATTTCAAGTTTTATTTGTTACAACTGATAACTACTTATGCTTTTCACCGTTCAAGTGGTTTTTGTTGTTTGCATTGAAATTATAATCAGATGTTACTGTTGAGCTGTGGAGTTGAAGACATCTTTTCTTTTTATAAAACCAAATGTTAACTGTAAAAGTGTTATTTTAAAATGTAATATGTAATCAAATAATATTTATACAATACGTTTCTAGTAGAATAGCGAGTTTTGTTAAAAAAAAGTAAACATTCAAATATTGCATACTAGCTATCGCCTGCGACTTCGCCCGTGCTAAATTAAAAAATCATTAGTAGACTATATCTCCTTCCAGGATACGTTCTACATCTATGTCAAATTTCAGTAAGATCCCTGCAGCCGTTCTGGAGATACCTTCTGACAAACATCTAAATTTTAACAATCACTCTTACCAGGGCTGTACTCGTTTATTTTTATAACGATTGGTATTGTACATGCATGTAGAGGTATGGAGTGTTTAATTTTATCGTTAATGTGTCATTGACACGTCTGTTGATAATTGTACCGGAAAGGCGCCGTAACTTTACTCCGCTATTTTAAATTAGTTGTTATATTTTCAGTTCGTTTAGTGCCTTACTTGGTGTACCATCAAATTTGTATTTTATTTTGTTTTCTTTAAGATGTAGTGTTATTAAAAATAGGTAGTACTTGTACCTTAGCTAGTGGTAATCATCAGGTCAATCTACGGAGTTGTAATGATAAAAGTTTTTATATTATGGCGGTCAAACATATTACTGTTTATTTTTATTACGTAAATGTTCGCAAAGCTCCTAAGGTCTTACACTAATTCTGTTTTACGCGCGGATTTCACTTCTTACTTTTAATTTGAACAAATTGTTTTCTTTTATGACTGTACAAGATTTTTTACTAAGTTTCGTTCGTAGATGAGTTTATGTTTTAGTATTTACAGCATTTATTCTTCTTAGTAACTAATGTAAGGATGGTTAGGCGATGATAACCACTTAAGTGGAAAATTTAAGGTAGGAATCGAACCTTAAAATAAAAAGGACAGAAGGTCTATCACTTATATTTGCGATATACAGTTTCATAACGTCTTCGTCAAAATATATCAAAATTGGTTTGAAAGTACTTTACATATCTATTGCATATTTTGTCGATTGTCGTTATTTTCTCGCAAATTTTTGTGCTAGGCTCTGTAATCCGAATTACCTCATACTAATCGTTATGTTACGAAGTTGTGTAATCGTAATAATATGTATTGTTGTTTGAAATTTTGTCACGTTACGTAGAAAATGATGTAATTGTTATTTTTGAGAAGTCGCAATGAATAGGTGCACGTAATGTATACATTTTATCATTGTATTATTAGGTTTAGTCAGTTTATCGTATTCATATCTCTGATGATAGCGCACGTCCTATCAGTACGACTGTTTAATAAAATTTTAACATTTGTCAGTCTGTTTCTGTCGTGATCGTGTGCGTTTGAACTGAATATAAATTATTGTGCCTTTTAAGTAATGGCCGATAATGATCGTATACCAAATATGAGAAATATTATAAAGATGTTTGAAGGACGGACAACTGTCGAGGATGTTTGCACTGAGGAATCGGCAACGGATACCGAAATATCCGAAAGGGCAAATGGTAAGATGCGAATTTGTACACAATTTTTTTAATTTAGAGTCTGTGCAATTGCGGTGGAAAGTGATAAATTCAAATTATTAATGACAAAAGAAGTAAATGTGTGTACAAAACGTCAAAGTCCAGATCGGACGATATTCTGTGCCTCTTTTTTTAATTTGACATATTTATTAAAATCTTATTATTTTTCTTGGAAATTATGTATGTATTTCTAAGCTATGGTTACATAGAAAATATATTTACGGTGGCTGAAATTTACTCTTTGTATTGTAAAGAGCGCGTTTCGCACGAATAACGCGCGTTTACTCAAGCATCGTAAATACTTCACATGTTAAATTCCAAAGATGAAATATTTACAACGATCCAATAGAAAATTATACGTGTAGAGAATGAGCTATTTTTTGTATTAATTTTCTGCACTTAGTTTATTAATGAATCGTACCGATGATATTAAATATTAATGCATGGACATTGAGAATGGTACGCTATTTTTTGTGCGCGTAAAGCAATTAAATAGGAATGAGAGTTAAAGAAAATCTATATATATAAAAATCAATTCCTGTTCGTTAGTTTCGCTAAAACTCGAAAACCACTCACCGGATTTATCTTATCGTGGTCTTGAAATGTTCGTGGAGGTCTAGGGAAGGTTTAAAAGGTGAGAAAAATTTGAATAATTGCCGGGAAACCCTTTAGGAACCATTTTTTAATTCCGCGCGGACGGATTCGCGGAAGATAGCTAGTACTATATAAAAGTATTCAGTGTGATAGGTTACCGGACTTTGTTGCACCACATTCGAGAATAATTAAAAATATTTTATCCTTAAAATATACAAAAAACCAAAAGAGACTTACCAGAACTTACTACGGGCAAATCTCTATCTACTGAAATTGTAAATATTTTAAACCTATCTGCTTTAATACAGTTACATACAGTTGATTACATATGCTCTATTGTTGTAGGCAGTGAAGGTGAGCAGATAGTTGGAGGCAGCAACCCAGCGGCCGACTTTGAGGCTCTTATTGAGCGTTTGGAGCGTGTGACTACACGGCTCGAGCGGCTCCCCGTGCTACGAGCTCGCCCACTCACACCTCCTCAGTCTCCGGCACTTCAACCGTCGGCACCTGAGTCGCCTATCCCACAGTCGACGCCACCTCAGTTCCCAGAACCCCAGGCATCAGCACCAACACCGCCACAAGAAGTAGAGCTCCCAGAGACGCCAGCGGTAGACAGCATGAGTGTCATCGGGTATCAAGATTTGATGCAGGTAAGAACTAAAAAAAAATACGTAGTAAGACAACAGCTTCATATTTTTAAATAAAAAATATGAAGCTGTTGAAATATTTTAAATAAAACATATGGCCAGAAATTTTAATGAATTTCCAAGATGTTCGCCGTTGTACACTTTGTTAGCGTTAGGTCGAGCAATACGCTGCCGCTACCTTCCTCTCTCATTCTTATTAAGTGCTTTTATTACGTGGGAAGTAAGAAATAAAATTTGTAACGAGCACTCGTCCCGGCTTTATTAATGAAAATAATTTTATAAAATATTTTCTAAAGCTGAAAAATTGTTTGAAGGTTTTCTATGGAAAATATTTTATAACATAACAATATTAATATCGAAAAATATTGGAAAACAGCTCTCGAGAAGTTTCTGTGTTGGTATATTTTATTTCATAATTGTATTTAGACACGACATTATTGAAGTCTGTTAGTTTTTTTGTTCTTACCGGAATATCAACGTAGAAATTAATATTATTTCTAAGTTTTGCGTGCTTATTTTGTGTTTTATTTTTTTTTCCATCCTAGATTCACAAGTTCACTTTTAATTTTGTCAACGAAGGTTAACTTGACGTGTTCCGAGTTTAATACGCAGAGTCGAAATTCGCTTAAATTAATTACCGAGGCAAGAACAATATTTACCTTATCTGTTTGCCTGCCTAATCAAAAGTTGTTGCGCCCAACTTTCTTCATTACCTACCTTAATAAGATGCGATCGTAAAGGCAAAATTAAGAATAAATTTGTACTGAAATTTCAACGGTTTCTCGACGTATAAATTTTACTTTTCGAATTATTAGAGCAAAAAAGCTAAATGTGCAATTTTTTACTCTTTTCTAGTTACGTTCTTACCTAAAATTTTGATCTCGCTTTGACCTATTTTATGAAAAATATTTAGGTGTTTATTATAAAAAGTTTACTTTCGTGGAAATATGATTTGAGTTTATGTTGAAAATCTTGTATTTTCAAGAGAAAAAGCATTTCTGTTAGCTTAACTTAAAGGTACTGTAAACTACGAGTGTTATGCCTAATGGATTGAGATAAGGATTATGGCATGTAGATAAAGTTCGCGTAGGTAAATGTTGTTAACCGTTGTTGTTTCGTGTGGTTATCAAAGTTAAACACACTCTCAATGTAAAGTTAATTGATGTATTGATCATAGTTGTGTATGTTGCATTAAAATTTAATAACTTTTGCTTAGTCGTTGGATCAAAGGATGGAAACTTAGCCGGTAACGTCTAAATTTAATGTTTTAGTATTCGTAAAAGAGCGTCGGTGGCTCAGGGGTCAAGGACTTGACTTGCAATCTGCAGATCCTGGTTTCGAATCCCGCCATGTACCAATGTGTTTTTCGATTTCCGATTTTCATATGTACATTGATCCGAAGTTCTTAGTGAAGGAAATCATCGTGATGCAACCTGCACATATCTAAGAAGAAATTCAAAGATATCTGTGAAGTCAACCAACCCGCACTTGGCCAGCGTGGTTGACTATGGCCTAATCACCCATAACTTAGGGTAGGCTCCGAGCCCCTCGGTGGCGATGTATAGTGAACTGATGATGGTGAAAAGAAACAAGAATTCTATTTACAGAGGCGAATCACCTCTACCTTAAAAAAAAGCGAGACTGTATTAATAAGTACTTTATCGGCAATTTATATTCAGCTTAATAATGAAGACCTAAACAAACAGTCTTACAGTAATTCGGAAATAAATTTTCTGTGACTATAATTACATACAAAAATGTGCGATTATTAAAATGAATGGGCCCTGATAATAAAGTTCGTGTTGTTATTCTTTTGTGGGCGGATGTACTGCCTTGTTGCATGATAAACGACACACAAAGGGCCCATCTACTCCGTGCGAGAGAACTAAATAATATATTTATCCCTGATAATATTTTTACTTTAAGCATTTTGTATTGTAAATTAAAAAGTAGCTGGTTTTAAATTTTTAAAACACTAACGAATAAAACGTTTATTTCTATAGAAAAATAAACATTTAAATGAATTCGATGAAAGAAGCTAATCGTGAAATGATTGGACTTGGTTTGGATTGAAATAAAATTTGTATTTTCGTAATTGTAATATAAAAAGAGGTTTGCTTTAACAATGAGCACGAAATGCCTTAAAAAGGCTTTATTTATCTTATGACAGATAAACCTTTTGTCCCTTTGACCTTTTAAGTAAGGACGAATGAATAATACAACCTTTTTAATATTAACTTGGGAAGGATAACAATTTATTGTGCAGGAATTTTTCGGTGCGATTATTTTATTACTATTTTTTAATGACAAATGACATTCTTCATCATCATCAGCTCACTATATGTCCCCACTAAGGGCCACGGAACCAACCCTAAGCTAGGCCACAGTTAAACATCCTGGCCCAGTGCGGGTTGGTTGACTTCACATATAGCTTTGAATCCAGATATGTCCAGGTTGCATTCCGATGTTTTCTTTCACCGTAAAAACGTCTAATAAATATAAATAAACACATCACATTCAGATAACAAAATTAAGTAACATATTTGAATACATAGGTATGCGTTTTATTGTATTATGTGTCTTCATTGATTAGGCATGTGATGAGGTAATTGAAGTCTATGATTTTAGTATGAGACAAAGTGTAATGTTATTTAATTATCCATGGACTTGAAAGAATTAATTTTCGTTTCAATTGTTTTATTGTTTTGCCACTTGGCCTTTGCGGAAGAAAATATTTGTTTTCAAATGAACTATACTTAGACAGCCAATATCATCAACGTGCCCTTATTCTTACGGAGGGTCGGCATAGTATGTACTACTCCATACATCTGTATCAGCCGTCATATCTGAATCCACCCCCTTCTTACGTAAATCCTCTTTCACTGAATCCATCCATAATTTTTTTGGTCTTCAGACAGATACTCAGACAACTAACATATCAATAAATGTAATGAGAAATAAAATAACGTTTTATTTATATTGATACCACTTTCGAAGTGGTAATAAAAATAACTTACATCTCATATTGTTATAAAAAGGTTATTCGTTGCAATTGGATCATTTGATTGTACCGAAAACAAACTCGTAACTCGAACGTAATTCATTTACAGCGCCGAACTAGCGTCACGAGTCGTCCAATAAAAGTAGATTAATAGTACTAACAAATCAACAGTCCTTGTTACATTTATTGACGGGACACAAAAGACCAGAAAGAAAATAGTACGATCATGAAAGTTTATGTTTAACTTGTGTCAATTGTAAATAAAGTTTTAAAACATAATAGACTTCCAATTGGTCTACTATAAGGATGGATTGATGGATGGATGTATGTTTGTTTGAAGGTATCTGCAGAACGACTGAACGGATCTCGATGAAATTTATCATAGATGAAGAACATAGTCTGGAAGAACAACTAGGCTACTAATTAAGTTTTTTTTTTATATTAACGCGGTCGGAGTCGCAGGCGATCACTAGTGTAAATGTAATCGCTTATCTTGACTATTAAAAGGTATCATCACTTTTCCTTTTTGAGGGAGTTTTTAAGTGGAATTTAAGCGTTAAAGATTTTTATTTTGTTGCCAGGGCCCTTTGCGGACGTATTTGGAGCTGTCTCAGCAGATCGGCGGCGATGTGGCCACTCACGCTAACCTTGTCAACGAGGCTTTCCAGTAAGTATCGCACAAGTGCCCTAAACCACTTACACCACAGACAATACCATTTTGATTTTATCGATGAAAATCAAGGGTACGCTTGTGATGGTTAATTTTGTCGTGAATAGATTATTTAACTGGTCTCCTTCATATGTATGAATACCATAGTATTTCGTACTTCTCGTAGTGTATTGTCCATGTTTATTAATCCGCAAACTTTGTTACATGAACATTACATATTGAAATAGTTGTCTATAGAGTCTGCGGTTCAATGGTTCTCTTTGTATATCTGACTCTGCAAATAAAGTTCGATTCCCTTTGATAAATTCCAATATATCTGTACAATGCATCATTGAATATTGTGTTCGCTTAATTGCAAGATTCTTAAGTTTATATTCTGGCTCAAAGGATCGAAAAATGATAGCGATTTTGGTAACTTCATAATGTTAGCAATTCAGCTTAGTTAAGTTATTCCATTTTTTCAATTTTGTTTTATAGGCCTTTTTTGTGATTTTTTTTATTTGATATAGAGCGCAGCTTCGCTACATTCAACTTGCTCAATCACGAAGCAAACCATCGCAAGCTGAGGAAGTTCAGCTATTAGCGCCGACCAGCGAAAAGATATCTGCTATCCAGCAGTTCCGAGAGAAGAATAGAGTTTCTTCTTTCTTCAACCATCTATCGGCGATATCTGAGAGCATCCCAGCTCTGGGCTGGGTGGCAGTGTCCCCAACTCCCGCTCCTTACGTCAAAGAGATGAACGACGCCGGTCAGTTCTACACGAACCGAGTTCTCAAGGAGTGGAAGGAGAAGGACAAGAGACACGTGGAGTGGTGCCGCGCTTGGGTGCAGCTTCTCTCCGATCTTCAGGCCTACGTCAAGCAGCAGCACACCACCGGACTTGTCTGGTCTGGTAAGTGATTTTTAATAATGACGTAACGATCCAATTACGTTCAATTTGAAATAATCTTTGAAATCGTGTAATATTTTTAATTTACTTCAACAAAGAAGTGATAAATCAATAGTCTAGCGTTTACTTTTAACATTTATGATGTACTAATTAGGAAGGGAATCAGACCGTTGCAAAGTCAAATAGCAAAAGAATGGTGAAGCCAATTAGGGTGCAGGCGCCTGCCAGGCCTGGAGTCGGTGACCTGATTGCTTGCTAGACCATTACTACATTACTTTTAGACTTATATTATAGTGAATTACTGAATAATAGAATAATGTATAATATTATATTAAAATGTTATCAATTAAGATAACAAAAATATAACTGTTTTAAATACAATTGCAAAAGGCAATGTAGAATATCACAAACAACATATAAAATCGTAAAATAATAACGGTAAAACAAAGAGCAAATAATTACCTGTTCGGAAACAGTTAACACTTATACTCTTGTGTAAATCAAACTGAATAAAAAACCATTTAAATATTCCTTTTAATTATTGGTAAATTATTTTAATATATTAAAGTAAACGCTTTTTAACATTCATTCAGTCTTTGTTTAATATTCTGTGTCACGCAAATCGATATCCGATTCGCAATTAATATAATTGAGTTCGCGACAAGCATTTTAATTTTACTCCAAATGTATTCGATTTTATTACATGGGGGACGTAAAAATTGTCCAAAATATATTTTACTTGATTTCCCTCGACGTCGTCGGATCGCAATCTCGCTTGCTCCCGCACTTTACCATCCATTGTTTTCTTTCCGTGTTCTAGTTTTGTTTTATCCTCCCTTCTTTGTCTCGGTAGAACTATAGTTACAAATGTGGGCGTTACGTAATCCTTTTTTCAACCGAAATAGGGCAAAGGATGGACGATGTTCAATCTCACAATCGAGTTTTGTTTTCTTAAGAAAATTGAATTAGATAACTTACTCTTGACGCAATAAAGTTGCCTGTTGTATATTATTAAAAATATTAATATTATTTCCACTTCTCGTTTTTACATACAATTTATATTTTGGCCAAAGTTAGACCATATTATTCGGGCATTAAGGAATTAGGTTTATTCACTACGAATAAATGATTTGTCTTTTTAATTCCACTGTTTGTCTAAGATGAATTAAAAGGTTTTTACTTAAGCTCACCAAGCCGGAAGTTCTAAGATTAACTAACCACAAAAGTTCAATCGGGCGCTTCGACTCGGACTTTTCGATGACTATTGGTGCTTACATTGCGGTGCAGGCGATCTCTTGTATTATGTCGAGGTGTTACATGTGCAGGCACTGGCGCCGGCGCTCCGCCCCCGCCCCCGCCCGGCGGCCTGCCCCCGCCGCCGCCCATGCTGCCCGAGGCGGACTTTGCCAACCTCAGCGTCGACGACCGCAGCGCCCTCTTCGCTGAGATCAACCAAGGCGAAGGCATCACCAGCAGTAAGTTTTAATTTTATTAACGAATTTGTCTTCGCTGAATTAAAAAAAAAAACCTATTTTCGCTAGTAAATATATCCCATGTTACTCAGTGATACTGTAGTTTTCGAATGCCAAAAGAATTTTTGAACTCAATGCAGTAGTTTTTGATTTTATTCGTTACGTACAAAAATACTAATTGGCCCACTTTTTAATAGTAGCGTTGATTTCAAAAGTTAAAGTTGGATAGGTAGATAGGTTTTAGCTGCTTTCAAGGATTCTTTTTATAAACCTTAATGGATTTTAGTGGAATATTTAAAAAAGTTCTAATCTGATATTCTAATATTACGTTAGCTTTATAATTTTAAAGTCACACTGTTAATATCATTTCAATCCTTCGTTAGACAGTCTAGTTGGTCGGTACTCAAAGAATGTAAACGAAAATCGTTTGATGCATTTCAATGGATGGTATAAAATATACTGCATTATTAAATCACAGTTTATTCTATTTATAGTTGTGTAAGTGGAGGTTAACGTGTAGATATAACGGTGTTTCAGCCAAAATCCAGCCGCGACAACCGTTAGCTAAATCGTCGCTATAAAGTTGCATTGCAACCACAGTTCCTTCGTTATATGTTGTCAATAAATCTCAACATTTCTCGTATATATGTGAAATGTGATAGTTCGTTTTTTAATCATAAAATTAATGGCATTTTGAACTTTACTGTCAGCTTTCTAAATCATAATTTATTCGCTGCTAAGTGCTGCATTTCATTAGATAAGTTCTTTTCGACTAAAGTAAAGATAAGAATAAACCCAATTATTTTCAATTTCTTTTTGTTAAGCTCAATTGTTAAGATCTATGCAGGGGCATGAAAATGTAATTGATGAAAGGCATTATTCGTGATTGTTTTCTTTGTATTGTTAGACCTGCGCAAGGTGACAGCGGACATGCAGACACACAAGAACCCGACGCTGCGCCAGGGTCCGGCGCCCTTCAAGGCGGCGCACTCCGCTCCCGCCCCCGCCCCCGCTCCCGCCAAACCTCTGCCTCAACCTGGCGCAGGAAAGCTCGACAAGCCGCCTGTCTTCATGCGCGACGGCAAGAAGTGGCTTATTGTAAGTATAACTCATTTCAAATATCTTAGCGGCTCAAAGTCATGTGAGCGCTATGCTGAGCCATCCCCTCATCCTGCTACTTCCCAACATATTGTATTCTGCGCAGCGACTCGCGAGATGTTAACAGCCTTCGACATTTCCGAAAATATTTATACACTTTACTACCATTTTACACTTTCACTGGAGCTAGGACTGTGGCACAGACTAGAAGTGTTAATTCAACCGAACGAAGGTAGACGAAAGACTAGGCATTTTTCTTGCATTTGTCTGTTCTTCTTAAATGAGAGTTGGCAGTACATCAACAACTTACAGTTTACGGTAGCTGTCAACATTTAACATGAAATTATTTCCTCAATATTAAAATGGGCAAATAAAAATAATATTGATTTCAAAATCTTTTTGGATCATGTTTTTCTGAAGAGTAAGTTTATTATATAGAGTATGAAGCCAGTGATAAATTATAGTCTACGTGAACCTTTTACTCTCGACCTTATACAAAAGTTCGTACAACGCACTATAGAAATAAAAGGTCTTTTGTTGAAGATAATTTTCTTTCAATAGGATTTTTTCTATTATATGTTTGAGAAATTTGCAATAAGACAAGAAAACATAGGCTGTGATGAAGATATTTACGTAAATATAAGAAACTTTTCAAATGTATAAGACAAAGAAATGCCAATTATTCTCTCGTTCTTTTTTCACTCCTCTTTGTTATGATATTAATATTATTTTATAGATGTTCTATTTCAATATTTTTATCATTTCCCGAAATATGAGCTTGTGTTCACAAAAGCAGCGGCTTCGGCATACAAACGGCACTCGATGGCAATTTAATTTGCCAATACCGTTATTGAAACGCTCACTACTGCGAGTGGCCTTTCAGGAAACCTTTCTGAATTATTAAACGAATAACAAACGTGGTTTACTAACCACAAAGCAATAACAAATCGCAAACAAACGACTAATTCAAAGCTCTGGTTTCAATAATGGAAAATCTAATCTTACTCTTATTAATATTATAATATAAAAGCAAATGTTTGGATGGATGGATAGATCCATCCATCATCGTTTGGTTTAAGGTATCTCCAAAGAAGGTGGCTGCATGAATCTCGCTAAAATTAAGCATAGATGTAGAACATAGGCTGCCAATTAAGTTTATTTTATTCCGTGCGGAAAGAGTTGCGGGTGACAGCTAATCGTGAATAGAAGTGTCATGGTTTTTCTTTTAATTTGTAGCTTCTAATTTTTAAAACTATCCTGAACTGCGTCCTTTCTATTTGATAACTTTAATAGTTCTCAAATTTTATGGGTCATTCTGTGTGTCTTTTGCCCACTGTGGATTATGTTTACGATATAATACGATGTTTCCTTAACAAAAGGGAGTATAGCTTGTACTTCGCGCTAATGCCATCCATTCCCTCTGATACCCGTACCCGCATAAAGTTTAATGAAGGTTGCTTAGCTGTTGCGGTACATTGTAAATAAAACTTTCACAATATAAGGGTCAAGTCTACTTCATTTGCATTTAAAGATTTAAATAAAGTGACATGAAATATAGTCGTAATATTAAGGTTAGTAAATATTTGTGCGTGCTAATATTATAAATGCGTATGTTTAGGTGGATGGATGTTTGTTACAAGGTATCTGCAGAACGGCTCAACTAATGTCGGTGAAATTCGGCATAGATGTAGACCATAGTCGAGAAGGATACATAGGCTACTAATTAAGTTTTTTTTTAATTCCACGCGAACGGAGTCGCAGGCGACAGCTAGTCAAGTATACAATGAATAAAGTCTATACGCAAAATGTCAATTCTGTTTAACTTTCTCATAAGATGAATTTGGCAACTTTGAAAATGTTTTATTAATAATTTTGCTTCAATCTACATTTCCCTATAATTATTGTTATTTAAGAAGCGCTTCGAAATTTATGTTTGTTAGGGACTTTATAAACTTTTCAAAGTTATAAGAGTACGATGTATAAAGGAGACATGTTTCTAACTTGTCGACAAAGTCCTTAGATTGTTTGCTGTTATAAAGTTACTTTTGTATGTGTGTACTAGTTTACATAAGACTTTGTCCACAGTTCGTGGTTAGAAAAAACAAGAACAATTAATAATGTAAGCTGGTACGTAATCACGATTCTTTAGTAATACACATCATATTGATTGGTGTAAAACGAATTCTATGTTTGAATATCACTGTATTCTGGGATATGATTTTACTATTCAAACCAAATTGCACACAGCACATGTAATCGATTTTTTTACAGCTTTTGACTATATATTCTCGATTGAGTGTTAAAAAATTAGGTTCCGATTCATGGAATAGCAATTTTATAATGCAGATTTTATTAGAACTTTGCTAATATTATTAATTATTGGAATCACACTATCATTCTTATATTATAAATGCCATTGTTTGTTTGGTTGGATGGATGTTTGTTTGAAGATATCTTCAGAATGGCTGCACGGATCTCGTTAACATTTGGCACAGATGTAGAACATAATCTGGTAGAACACAGGCTACTAATTATGTTTTTTTTTAATTCCGCGCGGACAAAGTCACTGGTGACAGCTAGTATTTCATAATTAAATACACAAAGAGTAAACAGTTGAAATAAGAGATAACAAGCATTAACTCCCTGGTCTCTTCTATATCTGAGATGTATTTAATTGGAACACGACTCTTTTGCTTTGAACGTAAAAGCTATAATTATACAACTTATTAAAGTCTACTAAAGTCTAAAAGACAAGTAAGAAATAAGTTAAACACAGAGAATAACTGATAAAGAATATGCTAAGTGGCAATTAAGCACAAACTGCTCTTTGAAATATAGCGTACTTATTAAAAAGAAACTAAAAAAGTTAGCTGAAACGTTTTATTTTTTAATTAAACGATAATTTACGAATTTTAAAACCATACTAAAGTTAATGTGACGTTTTTTTATACCAATACATTGGCTTCCGGGCCATTGATTTATAGTTTAGTATTATGGGATTACTTTACGAGGACAATATAAAGAGTCGTGATCCTTTCCCAAAGGATATACGTGTTACCTGCAATTTTATTTGCTTTAGTATTTGTTTTTATATTTGGATCGACCTAGTTTCGTATTGATTTTTAGTTTTTCACCTTTTGTCAACAATATTTCTACGTTAACTTATCCATAAATGATATTAGCAACTGCGTTAAAACTGATAAAAAATCCGAATCGTTTTAAACCTTGATTTTAGTCCTTACTACAGCATTTGATGCAATTTTAATTTGGAAAGTCAATAGAAACTGAGGCGCGGCAAACGCAACACAGAGTATTCATGACGTTTCAATTATTTACGACGTGGTACCGACGTTAATTAACCTCAATTAACACGATGCCACAGACATCCCTAATTCATTTGATTTGATTGCAACCGAGTTCAGTTCCATTGAAATAAAAACATTTCTCTTGCCCAGTCGCATTGAAGGACACTTCCAGTCTTTCTATGGTGGCAACAGGGTAGGTTAATAGAGTATTCAACCCATCTTAGTTACTGCGGACCAATAGTGTTATAATCCCAGCTACTAACCTAAATCACAGTAGTAGACTTTGACGGTGTATTCTAGTATATATAACAGCTTACTCCATAGAGACTAAACTGTTAGCAAAGCTTTTTTTTTCAATTTCCCTACAATGTTGTTCTTAATCTCATTGACTGTATCAGTAAACAATTTTATGTAGATCATAAAGGCCACATTAAATGTAGTTAAGTCTTTTACCCATACTCATAACCTTTTATAGACGATGTTATTTGGTTATTTATGTGCCATCTACTTATAGCTTTCTATTTATCTCCCTATTCAAATGATCTATTATTAATTAAGACGTTTGTTACCAGGAATATCAAAAGGGCAACTCCAACTTGGTGGTGGAAAACGCTGATATGAACAATGTGGTATACATGTACCGCTGCCGCGACTCTGCGCTCACCGTGCGCGGCAAGATCAACGGAGTCGTACTCGACTCCTGCACCAAGTGTGCTGTCGTCTTCGACAACCTCGTCTCCAGCGTTGAGTTCGTCAACTGCCAGTCTGTTCAGATGCAGGTCAGTACAATGTGCATATAAATCCTTCTATAGGTCCTTCGCATCTCTTAGCAATAAAGAGAAAGAAGAAAGAAAAATTAACATAAGATCGCATACATTTATTGTAATTTTACACTCATGGATATTTGCAACACTAGAAGGCGTACAAGGATTTATTATCTGTTTTCCGTTGGACCGATCGACCTACTGATTTATCGGCTAAATGGGTCGATCGGTCCAAAAAGAAACACCCGATTTATTTATTCATACGGTGGAAATTTTTATAGATTAGGTCCACCCTTCGTCTTTGGTCATATCTATGGGACTACAATATTATTATAAGAACCCTTATGTGATAGTAACGTAAAGAAACATGATAATTTTAAATTTTCATAATTCCACGATGTAATTTTAGGGCGAGTCGCCTACTCATACTACGGTTGTCAAATCACTAGGGTCTACAGTCACGTTCCATTTTATGACGAGCTTAATTATCATTTAAAACTAATTAACTACACCTAATGAAATATTATTTATGAAATTACAAAAGCAATATGATTTGCATTAAATTAAATTTAAATAATTAATTGTATGCTGTTAATCGGATAAATTTAATTAATGGTAATTAATTAATTTTACATTTCCCGATCCAAAATGCGACAGCTTTTGAAAATATGTAATTTGCTGTCAGAGCTATCCACTAAAGTTCTTCTTCTTCTAGCTCTACAGCCCTTTGTGGGCCTTGGCTTGGTCTAGCAACTTTTTCCACCTCGGTCTATCTCTGGCCACGGACTTCCAGTTTGCTATGCCATCCACTAAAGTACACAATAAAATAAAAAAAAATAATAGTCTTTCCGAATAATCTTTGGTCCTTGCAGCTGTGAATGTAATTAAAACCACATTTTTGCATGTTTGCAATAATATTTTAGTAAGTTTGTTAAAAATATATCTTCTATCAAGTGTAGTTAGATGTACGCGGCGCCGCTATGAAGCTTAAACGTGTTTGAGATTGTGTTGGTTCACTTAGATTATGTTTGTATTGGGATATTTTAAAGCGCTGCATAAAGACGTGCAAAGAATATTGAGCGCTTTGTGCTATACGGCGCTCACGCGAGCTGCGTCACCGTTATTGCGTCATATATTTTATAACACAATATCCTGTAGCCATCGAAGAAAATGTTCTTCTTTTCTGGAATGGCTGTTATTTATCATCATTTTAGCATCCCTCAGACTATCGAATTACATTTTGAACAGTCGTTTCGCTTTTTACTAACTAAATGCTACTACAATTGAAAATTACATTAATAAATAATTGTTTTTATTCAAAGATACAAATACAGTATCAAAATGCTTACTATTTGAGAGTAAAATACATAACAATAATGGAGCAAGGTCACATGGAAGCCATGTCGTTGCAGTCCCAGTCGTCGCCCGCCTCGCTCTTCACCTCCTGTATAGCGAGCTGGCTGCTGGTCTCCTCCGTCACCACGAACAGGTTGTTTGCGAGTCGCGGCCGACCCCACTCGCATTCGAGCCCTGTCTGTAGCCCCGACTGCAGCCCCGTCTGCAGCGCCACCTCCCCCTCGCCCGGCTCGTAGTACTCGCGAGACATGTCCATGTCCGCTGACTCCTGGCACACGTTGATACCAATCAATACTTAAAACTATCATACTATGGTTATAGGTTTATTCGTCTCGGTTTCTATGATTTACGATCGATCTAAGGTCATCATAGGAAGTTGTCCGTTGGATTAAATATTCATAATGACGCACTAGTTATGCGAATGAAAGTATATAAATAATAGGTCTATAAGAAGGATAGGAATAGTCTTAAATAGTACAATTTTACCTGAAAGCAATAGGGTGAGTTGCGAAAGGCGTTCGGATACCAGCTGATGTCGCTGTCTGTGTCGGAGGAATCGCGCAGCGGCGGTTTGCTAAAGTCTCCCATCGCCTCCTGTGATGCGAGCTCCATGTGGTTCGTATCTATGTCCACTATCGCCAGTTTGCTGTTGATCACCATGTTCAACGTCTTTTGCCAGTCTTCTAGTAATTTCTTTATGTCTTCCATCTGAAAAGAACATGTTTATGTGTAATGCCATTGAGATATTTATCAAAATAGTAAAATTTTAACGTATTAAATCATTTCAAACCTTTCTTTTTAAGAGCGCTTGCTTCGATGCTCTTCTGAGTCTTTTTTGTTTGATAAAATGCCTAAGATATGATACTTTGTAGACGTTGGTCACTTTGACTATTTTGACTTGACATTCCTTCTGACTCTCACTGGCAGATGAATAAATGCTTGCCTCGGGGCTGGAGGGCTCAGCCGGTACATACTCCCCGTACTCTCCATATTCCCCGTACTCCCCGTACGTGTTCTCCGCTTCCACTTCCGACAACTTTGTACGTTCGATCTTTAAATCTTTCATTAATTCTATTAGAATTTTTTGTTCTGAAACGTAAAGCACAATTAGTAACAGTATATGTAGAAGTAATAATCTGGAATAATTTGTATAGCCTTTAGCTTTTTCCAGTTTGCCTACAACTTATTCTGAGGTTGTTGTGTTTCAAATCAAGTTTTCGCTGTTATTATTTCACGGGTTACGCTTTTATGGTCTAAGAACGTTGTAACTGTAATGTACCTTGTTCGGGGTTGTTCTGCGCGTGTTGTGCATCAATGTCTGCTGCGAGTGCATTGGATTCGGCGGCGCGGCGCAGGTCATCATCGTCTGCAAGCGCTTGACGCACGCGAGCGCGTACTCCGCGCAACCGCTGCAGCCCTCGCCGTAGCTCCTCTGACCTCTCTTTGTGTTCTGCCTCGCGTACACTTAACTTTGTTGTTGCTACCTTCACCTATACAACAGACATCTATCGCTTATTAAATAATAGACTATATCGTATGCTACACATGTGAAAAAAGGAAATTTGTACACAGCTTTTCGGATGAATTTAGAGATGATCTGATCAGATTATGTTTATAAATAGATGTACATTTAATTATAAACATTTGTCACAGTTTCTACGGATTTAGATGGATTTTCTAGTATTACCTGTAGTTGAATGTCTTCAAACTCTTGTTGCTTTCGTTGTAGATGCTCTCTTTTCGATAGATAATAATTCTTCATATATCTATACATAAACAACGATGTCGGTACATATTTGAAAATAAAAATAACCTGCAATTATAAAATGCATTTCTGTATTTACTCACCCATTTATTGTTTAAAAGATTAATTTAAAAACTTACGGTATTTTGAATAAAGTAGTAAATATCGAATATTTATATAAATTCGTGCAGCCAGGGAACGAGAATTTAAAGCACTTACAAGAATAAAAAACCTAGAGATATTTGTTATGTGTATAGGAAATGTATTTTACCACATTGACAAGAGTTAAGTTTGTGTAAAGAATATTAAGGGCGTTCATGCATTGCGTTCCGAACGTGCCGCCGTATTCATCTATGATGTTTTCCATGAACTTGACCGTCTCCCATAGCCAGAGAGCCTTTTCTTCGGCCTCCTCCGTCGAACTGTTATCCACCGTCAGTATGTTCTGCAAATAAAGCAACGCTAACACAACCGCTAACTTCACAAATAAAGCGAACATCTAAACTCAATAAAATTCACATGTTTGTACATAAATTTTCTCAGTATAAAATTTTTACAAAATGTCAAAGACTTTTGAATGACATTGTTGACAATGTCTCTTCTTTAAATGTTTCTTTTTTATTGCAGATTCGTTCGGTAAGATGATATAGATTTTTATCTATATATAAAAATGCGATCGTAATTTAATAGGCAGCATAACATAACCGCAGTTATGTTTGCTGAATTATTTGGGTCAACTTATTTTTATACATTTAAAAATTAATGAGTTAGTTGCGTGTCATTTTAATATTATTTTGTATTCTTCTTTTTGTAATTTCCGCGTATTAAACCAATTTAATTTAGCGTTTGTTAGCTTACTATGAATTTAATAGGGAAATTTGGTATAATTCGCACAATCCCATCAGTTTATCTTTAAGGATTCAGGGAGTTGAATGCACGTATTATTTTTTTTCATTCTTTTTGTAAGTTGTAATGTTTGTTGTTGCAGGTGTTGGGCAAGGTGCCGACGATCTCCATCGACAAGACTGACGGCTGCCAGATCTACCTGTCGCAGGACTCGCTCGACGTCGAGATCGTCAGCTCCAAGTCCTCGGAGATGAACGTTCTTGTGCCCAAAGCCAATGGCGATTACGTAAGTCTCACTTCCTTGTATCCTAAAACCCTTTTTCCACTAAAGCTCTTAAAGAATATAGGGTTTAAGATAGTTACCACCTGGCCAGTACTATTTCTTTAAGCCATGGATAGCCTCTTAATGAATTTTTTTACTAAGATATCAATATTTTAAATAATTTTAGGTTACATTAATTATGTTATGTTTTCAGACGGAGCATCCGATTCCGGAGCAGTTCAAGACGGTGCTGAACAAGCCGCCGACCGGGCTCACCACCACGCCCGTTGAGAACAAGGGCTAAGCCCCCCACCGGCTACGCCCCCGCAGGCTAAGCCCCCACACCGGGAACCAAGCTCCAACACCTAACATCGGATCATCATTACAACAGCACGGTCTACATTTAGATTCGTTTACATAACTCGATCCAAACCATCGTTTACAAACAACTTTACATCACTCAAATGTTTAATATCAAAAGATTGTAAACTTAACGTGAACTAAGATTACGCAAATTAAATATTATAAAATAGTACGTTATTTCATGTCCTTAATTAATAGATTTAGCGAAGCGTTTTCGATTGTTTTACTATAATGATTTCCTCTTTCATAGACAAATGCTGTAAGATTTAAATTAAAATGTACTGTTTAGTTATTTATATATTTATTCTATTCGCTATTTTATATCTATATTTTATTATTACAATGAAAAAATAGGACAATTTGCGTAATCTTAGATATTAGTATTTGACGTTGTTTGTATAAAAAGCACAAAATAACATAAACTGTATAGGATAAAGAAATAAGTTTCCGGATGTGTGAAACGATTTAGTCCTCAATATTAATTTGTTGCTCACTTCGCTCGATCATTAGCGTTTAAGATATAAATCTAAATAATGACGTAGACATAACTATCATTCAAGTATTTAATCGCCCTTCTATTTAATGTTCCTTCGTATTATTTCTATTTAAAAAAAATACAATTTTTAACTAACAGATACTGTAATGAAAACAAATAAACAAACACAATAAATTATAATGGAATTTGTCTAAACATGTTTGTTTGTGATTTAGCAATGTGAACACTGAAACATCGGCCTGTCTATAATGTTTTGTCTAGCAATGTGTCTAGTTCCGATGTGTTTGCGATACCGCTCGGTATGTTAAGGATAGCTTAAGAGTGTGACGTCACGAGTTTGAAACAAAACTCTTTGCATTTTGTAATTCTATATTATTGGCTGTAATAGAGTGAACTATAAACCCCGATTAACGTAACCGTATTTGGGCGTATTCTAGTTATAATTAATTTTCTATTTATAATAATATAATTGTCTCATTGTGATTGTGTATCCTTAAATTACTGAATCCGACTCTGTTTATTCATACAACTTGTAATCCATGTTTATGTCGAAGCTAATTAGTACGCTATCTTACATATAGTAATCAGTTTTCGTAACAATAATTTTTTTATTAATAACAACGTGACATTATTTATTACGCCATTCTTATTTGAAGTTTATATTTTTTAATTTATTTGTGGAGAGATTAAAATAATTTTTAAGATTTATGTTTTTTTTATTTCATATCCCAATCAACTTTAGTTATCTTACTAATATTATAAATGCGAATGTTTGACGAGCATCGGTGCCTCAGTGGTCAAGCAGTTGACTTGCAATCTACAGGTCCTGGGTTCAAATCCCGCTATGTACCAAGGTGTTTTTCGATTTCCGATTTACATATGTACATTTATCCGACGTTCTTACGTGATGCATCCTGCACATATCTGAGAATTCAAAAGATGAAGTCAACCAACCCGCACTTGGCCAGCGTGGTTGACTATGGCCTAATCACCCTTAATTAGGGTAGACTCCGAGCCCCTCGGTGGGGACGTATAGTGAGCTGATGATGAATGGTTAGATGTTTGTTTCAAGGTATTTCCAGAATAGCTGAACGGATCTCGATGTAATTTGTCGTTATACTTAACATAGTCAAGAACACGAAGGCTACAATTTTTTTAATTCCGCGCAGATGGAGTCGCGGCCGACAGCAAGTTAATAAATAAAACAAATTCTTAAAAGATAAATTTTATTTAGATCATGGATTACGTCGTCCATTTGAATAGAAATAGCTCAAACGGAAAAGGTTATCCATACAATTGCAATAAATAGATTTTAAATACGTGTTTAACAGTTAAATATAAAGAGATTTGACTGGGCTACATTAATTTACAATCTATATATACAATGCCCACATTCTGTATGGCTTTAGTGGTTTTTATACTTTTACTATTACAAAGTTATGTGGCTTTACTTGAAATATAACTTAACGCTTACAATGCAAATCAGTCGAAATAAAAGAAAATATTCTAGATTTAAGTACTGGCTTATACATAATAATTTACATCGACTACACTAAATGTGACAAAAAGTCGTTTTTTTAACTTTGTCCTTATATTACTTAGTATCGTTCTAGTTATCAATCAGGATCAATGCTAGAACTGTTGAGTGCAGCGTAGTGACAATTCGATTCATCGCTACCATCGGAACATTCTAGAAAGCCGTTACATACGCTGGATGTCGGCAGACACTCTCCCAGTGGACATCTGAAACCTTTACACGTATCGTAGTACGCGCGTCTTCTGTTCTCTGCTGTCTCCAAATCTGCATAGAAGTCTTCGTTTGATTTGTTTTCGTTGTCTTCGTTGAAAGTATCGTTCTTGTCGCGTGGCGTGTATTTATCTATGACGCTGTCGATCCATTCGATGTAATTAGAGACTTTGGTGTAGACGCCGGGACGATTCGCGCGCGCGCATCCGTACCCGTTGCTTGTCACACCGTAGATATACCATTTGCCATCTTCCTGAAATAATCAGATAAATCCTTAATAACTTTTATTCTCGAAATCCGATAATATTTAGATGAGATACTTTGTTATTTTAACATAACTAAATGCCGGTGGTAATGCACTGACCTGGCACATGAGTGGTCCTCCGGAGTCCCCTAGGCATGCGTCGCGGCCGCCGCGTTCGTAGCCCGCGCAGAACATGTCCTCGGTGACGCGGTAGAGCGGCAGCAGCCTCGTTCGCCGCCGGCACTCCGCCGTCGATATCACCGGAAGCTCTACCTCCTGTAGCGTGTCCGCTGACAAACAAGTACAATTAGTTATAAACATCGTCACAGTTCAAGAATTACAACCGGAATCGGTTATAAATTTTCTTTTATAAAGTTATTGGTAAGGTATTATTAATAGTCAAAGTATTTACGAAAGACTCGTTCATGTTCGTAAAGCTGACCCCAACCGACGACGCTGCAGTGTGTGCCGGCGGGCGGGGGAGCGCGCGACGGTGGTAGGCAGGCGGGGCGTAGGCGCGCGTGCAGCTGTAGCCGGTCGACGCGCAGCAGCGCGATGTCGTTGCGGAAGCCGCGTGCAGCGTAACGCGGGTGCAGCACCAGCTGCCGCACGCGCGCCACACGCTCCCACGGCCCTCGCGGCCACGCCCCACGTCTTAGTGCTCCCAGGCGCGCCACCCAGTGCGCTTCCGTAGCTCTATATAAAAGAAATATCATGTATTTTTAATACATCAATGTTACACCTTGGTTGCCTTGATATTTTTATAAAGTTAGGAGTTAAAAAGGTAATACTTACTGATAGAAGCAATGGCTGGCGGAGAGCAGCCACTGGTCAGCGATTAGCGTGGCGCCGCACTGGAAGTCCCCGTCGCGATAGAGCGCCGCCTGCCAAGGCCAGGCGCCCGCCGCCGCGCCGCCGCCGCCCACCACCCTGCCCCACCGCACGCGCTCGTCAGTTACACGCCTACCCAACACACCACGCCTCACGTACACCGTACACCGGACACCAAATATCGTACACCTTGCATTTTTAACATCGGTGAAGCCAAGAATACCGCTATTTTGCATTCGATCGAGTCAAGCATGTTTCATAAGTCTGGTATGAATTTAAAAGTATTCAAAATTGCTGCGTTGTACACTATTTCTTCATCACTTCCTGTTACTACTATTCTGGAGATAATGCGTAGTAGTGTAGCTATTTACCTGGGTTGTTGTACGTCAGCATGTGGCCGCACTCCACACGCGAGATCCTGGCAGCGCACGCGCAGCGCTCGGCGTCGCGGACACTGGGCGCGTCGGAACGTCAGCCTGGTGTCGGCAGCGCGCGCCGCCGCATTGTGCCACACCTCCCAGTACCCGGCTGTGCTTATGCCGCGACCCTCACGCGCCTCGCGGGACCATCTTGATTCGCTAAAATCAAATTGAAAGAAAATGAAATTATGTAGGTGCCAAAGTGCTTTATATGTAATTTGTTTATGTGGTTGCAAATTATATTGACTACGTTTCATTGTTGCACCTTACCTGAACGTCATAGCACGACATATTGCTCTACCAAGATCAGGTAATTGCAGGGAACTATGAGCTTCAGCTACAACGTCCGCAAAGTTCTCCACACACAAACGACCCCATTCACCGCGTTTCCGAACCATTACGAACCCTGGAAAATATAACTTATTTTATTAAATAAAAAAAATCACAAACATCTTACAAATGTTTGTGATTTTTATAATTTTTACCTTCTTCATTATAAGGTACAACTTCATTATCTTCAATTTCATCAGATAGAGCGACGCAAGTTTTTTCATCATCACCTAGAGGACAGTCCGGTGTTCCATCACAAACTCGTGACATGTCTATACATTGTCGCGCATTGGAGCAAACGTATTGATTTTCGTTACACCATTCTGAAAAAAACATTTATTTTAAATCTTACTTATATTATAAATCGAATGTGTGAAAGAATGAATGGATGGATAGAAGTTCGTTAGAAGGTATTTCCAGAACGACTGCATGGATCTCGCAACTAACATAGTCTGGAATAACACATAGGATACTAATTAAGTTTTTTAACCTGAGTGGACGGAGTCGAGCTAGTCTAGAATATTTCTCACTTAAAGTTTAAAAATAATACCTTACCACATTTATTTTCATCGGAGTAATCCCAGCAGTCCACTACTCCATCACAGATCTTTGCTTGAGAGAATTCCGCTCTCAGGTAGTCGGCACAAGAACACGATCGCTCGTCCTCCCCACCCGGACAATCCATAAGGCGATTACATCTGGATGTATTCGGCAAGCAAAGTCCACTTGGACACCGGAATGACGTTGTATTACTGCAATCTTTAAAAAATAGTATAGTATAGTTTATAGATCACAAATTAAATAAAATTAATTTGGATTTTAATTTTTGTTTGGTTTACCTTCTTCGACATCATTTACTACTTCTTTTTCCTTCTGTGGTTTGAATTGTGCCTTGCTGTGAGTCTTTTCTGGTACATTAAAGTTATTATCCTCTTGCTTCGAAGGCTGTGTTTTATGGTAAGTTTTTGTCAATATTTTGAATCCAGCCTGATTAAGCGTATAACTTGACGGTATAGCTTTAGTTGATATTACTCCTCCGGGACGACGAAATAAACTGCTGTTACTGGAGTCTGTAATTGAGGCTAGACTTGCTAACTGCTTCAATTTATCAAATGTTAGCGTATTTGATTGATTTATGGGAATTTCTAAAACGACATCAGGTTCTAGAGCTAGCTCATACGCTGGAAGATTTTGAGTTTTGTTCGCTTGCTTACTGCTAACACTTCCAGTTACGTGGTAGGACACTCTGTATGTTCCTTCGGGAATAGTTTTGTCGTTTGAAAACTTGTCCGGAGAAAAATATGCATCGCTTAATGTCGAAGGACCTAAATCACTGCTAGATTTAGGAAATCTATTATTGGTTATTGGGATGTTAATCCCAATACTCATGTTATCAGGCATACTAGCAATCACTTCATGATTTACTGTTTCGTATGCATCATTATCGGCAGATGTAGTCATTTCCAAGCTGTCATCATCAACAGTAGTTTTATTAAAAGCAGGTATATAATTTTCTGTATTTAATTCTTCAATAAGGGTTTGAGCTTGAACTGCGTTATTAAAAAAACTACGTAAGTTTTCTTTAACGATTTGTTCATTTTTTATCTTCGGTCTTGGTCTTAGAGGTCTGTTTACGCCTAAATTTGATTTTACAGGCATTAAAGTAATAACTCTAGCTGTGGTACTTTCAATCTCTTCTTCAGGAATTACTTCAACAGATCCTCTTATTTCAATAGGATCGTTATCATCATCATCATCAACTACCTTATCAACTACTGGAGTTGATGAAGTGGGTAATGAGGTTTCCGGTTTTTTTGTGCTTTGGGCATATTTCTTAATAAGATCTGTTAAATTTCTCAATATTGAAATTTTGCTTGGAAACTTTGGTGTTGTGTTTGGAAAAGTAGCGTCATTTCTTGTTATAATTGCTTGTAGAGTATCGTTGTAAAATTTTTCCGGAGAATTTTTTGTAATAGTGTCATTATCATTTGTCGATGTATTCACTAACTCCCAAGTATGATATGGAACATCTGTTGTTGGAATAATTGAAACTTTATCATTGGGGCGACGAGTAGTATTTTCTTTGGTAATATGCTTTTCTGTTGTGACCCTCGCTTTAGTAGTGGTAGTTTGAGATTTAACGGTTACAGTAGAGGTAACTGTAGTGGTTGCTTCAGTAGTAGTAGTTGTTGTAGAAGAAGTTGTAGAGGTGGAGCTAGAGATGGTTAAATTGTGCTTCTTTAATATTGACGTTCCATCAATCGAGACTCTTTCTGTGTTATTATCTTGCGAGCCCGGTCGTAAAACATTTATCATTGTTGATGTCGTTTTCTCCTTTGGTGGCCGTATAATAGGTTTACCGTCATCAGCATCGTCAAGTTTAGTTTCTTTCATATTTTGTTTAGCGTCACCAATTTTGTCAACTGGTAAAGGAAAAGGTTTTGGGTACATTGACCCGAGCGTTTCCAAATCTTTAAGTGGTGGTTTAAACGTCGGCAGAGTGAAACTAGTATAGACTGGACTGGGGACATATATGTCTGCAGCTAAATTTGGATCTATGTTATATAAACCAGATGGTCTCCGAGTGGTTTTATCTGTATAATGTATAGGTGGATTCGGATTTAACATGCTTTCCAGCATCGAAATATCTTCAACAACTTCTGCAACTCCGATTCTATCTTTTGCAGTAGGTTCACTTGCTGTTTCTAGAACTTGAGTTGTTTGTTTGCTTGAAGTTGTTTCATAATATGGTCTTGTTATTGGACGCCAAGGTTCATTGTCAATAACATGTGGCACTGTAAATAATGTATCAATTTTCGGTAAATCTTTATCATGATTATCATTGGTAAGGAGGTCAAATAATATTTGTGAAACATTAGCCGTTGTAGTTTGTACAGTCGTTGTTGAAGTTGTTGTTGATGGAGTCGTAGATCTGGTTGGAGGTCTTTTAGTAGTTTTAAAACTTGTTTCTGGTTTTTGTGTCGAAGTAGTTCTTGTTTTTATTCCTAGATTAGACATTATTGTGAATGGCTTCAGTTTTGATGTGGATGATGCAGCGGTGGTTGCTTTAGTGATTGGTAGTTGTGTTGTTATTTTTGTTGTTGGTGCTTTAGTTGTAGTTGTTTTCGCCGGTATTGGTTTATGACTAAGTTTTTCGTCACGTTTTGCAGGTACGTTGCTATGTTTATTTTCTGTTATGTCTGCTTCTGTTTTTGTTATTTGGAAGGAACCTTGTACAACTGGAATGTTTTCAGTATCTATATCGGGTTCATCTGGATCTCTTTTCTTTGAAGGTTGATTCGGTTTTACAGTAGTTTTCCGGACAACACCTATCCTGCTTTGGAGGGTTTTATCACTTCCGTTTTGGTTCGACAATTGTTTAGGTTGATAACTTGCTAAAGTTTCATTTAAGGCTTCCATTACTTGCGACTCTGAATGATAAGTATGCTTCAAATCTCTTTTTATTGCTATGCTGTTTATATCTATTTTTATTTGTCCAAATGAAGGTTGCTTAGATAATAAATCCTGAACTATTATATTCTTAAGAGAATCTTCTATATTCGATACAGAACTGAAAAAGAAACATATATTAATAAAACATTTGGCTAAATATCAAACTAGATTTAATTGTTTTTAATTACATTATTACGGGTACTAATAATTAGAAATACCTTGGTATTTTTCTTCTATCCAAGTATATTCTGAAGTGCACATCTAATTTTCGATCGCCAAAGCCGGTGACCATGGCGCCTACGAATGCCTGTCTTAGAGGCGAGGGCGCGGCAAGCGCCTGCCGCAGTCCGACGCTGTAGCGGCGCGCGCGCTCGTTCCACGCGGGGCTACCGGGCACGCCCCCATATACGTCACCCCGCGTCACACGGAAGTTACCCTCGAACGTCATTATTGCTGAAAATTAAACACCAACATCTTAGTAGCGGTTTGCTCTCAAAAAATAAATATTTTTTTATTATGTAACAAGTTCTAGTGGCGCACAAAGAGACGCTGACATGACTCTCCATGTACTAGAAATAAGTAAAACTTACGTTCACCGTTATCAGGTCTGAGGGCACCCATGTAGAAGGCGAGTGCTGCGACGGCAAGCACAGCGACGGCTGCGAGCAGCGCGCCCGCCACAAGCGCCGCGGAGCATAACCCGCCACCCCTCGAGCCTCGTCCTGCACCACTGACGGGCACGCGAGGGTAACCCCCGCCAGCGAACCGATACTCACTCTGTAACACAGACTACTCGAATAAGGGATGATTGTCATTTTATTATTTTTATAGCTTTTATTGGAGGACTTGATGTTAAATCAATTTTTTTTGATAGAATAGTAGTGTAGTTTGACTGTAACTCACTACTAAATAAAGAATATTCAGTGGTTTCCTCCAGTTTAGTGTCAATGACCTTATCGCTTGAGTTTGCTCATATCCATTTTAATAATATTTTTTTTTAATATAGTCAGTAGTAAATCATAAATATGTACATATCGAACCTTCCAATCGTAAACTTAAATGCAAATCTGATTTTATTGTGTGCGAATACACCGTCGGTATCATTAAGACCGTGCGATTTAGTGCGATCATTATCAATCCGATGAGCGGCATCAGGCATCCCGCGCCGGTCGCGGTGGTCAAACCCGCCGCCCTCCCCACCCCCACGAACCCCCAGCGACGCTAATCACCCAACACAAAACACCCAATCAAATCCTTAGGAATGCACCGACATCGAGTTGAATAAAGAAGTAAATACAATTATAGGAACAAGAAACAAATCCTTGCAGTTGATTGAAAGCCTAATCGGTTTGGACGATACAATAATTTCAAATAAACAACTTTTTTATATTTTTTTAATTAAGAAAGCTTCAAGGAGAACTATGATTGGTAACATGAGACTGTGAATTCAAGCCCACAGGTGATTTTTTGGAACCTCAATAACCTATAATTATTATAACAAAAAATGTTACTGTTATACCCAATTAAGAAATTTACAAAACTTGAAATCATGTTACTCCTCACTTTTATCATCCATGATTTCGCACGCAAAATGTACCAAATCGCCAAAAAGATTCCTTCCCCTTTCACAAATTATTTTAAATTGCGTAGAAACGATCCAACCAGTAGGTTACCGCAGATTGGATCGTGCCTAAGCGTGTGTGTTCCTAAATATTTTAAGAACATTATTTACAAGACAAGGCCCGAATTACGATGAGACAAAAATCTCTGGTCGGTGCTTTTTCGTTCGCATAATTACACGGTGGAAACGGCTATCATTAAAAAACGTCTCGCATTTTATATACAAAGAATGAGGGACAGCTCACATGGAGATAGCCACTTATGTAACATTCTACACTTAAAAAATACAACGAAATAATACTCATTATCTTGCTTATTCTTTAGAAGTGGTGTATGTTACAAGACATGAAGTGCAAACCGTATATTTACCAAAAAATGGCACATATATTAAGTGTAATCCGATATATCGTTATTATTGGTACATAAATATGTTAAAAGAACGTTTGTTGTCAATGATTAGTGAGCTTTCTTAATGAATTTAATATTTATTTTTAAGTTTTATGGCGTTCAACGTGATATGGTCACTGAATTCTCGTATAACACTACGCTACGGACTCCCTTATTGCAATTATTGTTTATTTATTTATCGTGTTGGAGCGACATCCGTCTCGTAATTACATACCATTTTAAATGAAGAGTTGCGTAATGAGGTCCTCGAACCTGACGCAATTGCGATGATGACTTGAAAGTGGAAATGTACCCATCTGTACAACGTAGGGTACCTTAAGATGGTACCTCATTACTTTTTGGATCTTCCTTCTTTTTAAAAGGATCTCTAGATATTAAAATTCGTTCGTAATAAATTGTATGTTTTTATATTTAATAATATTCGTAGATTTTTGCGTATAGATACACATTATTTTCAAGGAACATAAAAAAGAAAAACACATTTCTTTTTACCTATCAAAAAATTCAAGGTCCCACCGAGACTTGAACTCGGATCGCTGGATTCAGAGTCCAGAGTGCTAACCATTACACCATGGAACCGATACAAAGCTTTCGGTATATACCTAACTATATTATCCTATATTTATTTTAAGGAATTTCAACGAAATTATCACGCACAACTCAATACTACGAACTGCGAATGTGAAGCTCTTTCTATAAATATCTTTTAGCACAAAGACATCTCGCGGTTCGTGATACAATTTTAGCTTTAACTAACGACTTCGGCTTACGTGGGGAAATATCTATATTTAAGTATTTAAATAAATGTTTATTAGAAATTACTATTATATGAGTATTCATCTTATTGTATTCATCTACATACCTTATACAAAAAATACGTAATTAATTTGTCTTATTTTACCAATATTATAAATTTGAACGTTTATACAGATTGTTAAAAGGAATGAATTGATGGATAGATGTTCGTTTGAAGGTATCTCCAGGATGGCTTAATGGACCTTGATGAACTTTGACATAGTTGTAGAACATAGTCTTGAAGAACGCATAGGCTACTAATTAAGTTTTTTTTTAATTCCGCGCCGACGCAGTCGCGGCGACAGATAGTATAGTAATATTTTTATTTTAACGCAGAACTTTATAAACGATGCGAAGTTCAAGTGTCCTTTGGACTTACACTTTTGTTGGCGACGAATATGTTCGTTTTTGAATTATAATAATCGAGACGTAGCATATCAATTTAACATCAAAATTTTAATTGGCTTTTTTAAAGGAACGGGCATTAAAAGGAATTTTTTGTAGTAAAGCAATAAAGAAGTAAAGATAATTTTAAAAATACAAGAAACGAAATGTGCATTCCTTAACAACAATAGAACTGCAGATTGGCTATTTTATGGCAGACATTAGAGGAAGGAATTTTTGCATTTAAAAATATTAAACAATAACAAAATTCAACGTTTCTTAAAATTAGACAATAGATGCAAAAGACGGCCACGGCGAGGGAACCATAAAATGTTTTAAGTTTATTGCACCTAATTTCTATAATGGCTTGCAAGATGTGCAAGAACCGTGGAACCAGATGCCAAGAAAGAATTCAAGTAAATAATAAATATATAAAATAGTAATATTCGATATTAAGTGATATAGTGAAATTAGTATGTGAAATAAGTGAGTGTCGCCCCAGTTTTATCCCCAGATAGAGTCAGTGTAAATAACTCGTGTATGTCGTATGTATATAGCTCTCAAGGTACATCGCCACTGTAATGTAAGTTTAATGTAAATTGTTTATAACCTATATATTATTGTTGTCATATGTTGGATAGGTTATTTTAAGAATGTACATTTGCGTAAATTACTTGTTATGTTTTAATGTGTCATTGTCGAAGTAGCATTCCACTGCCCATACATGTTTATATAATTTTGAATACAACAATTTTAATAATTCATACATCTTAGATTCATTGTAGTCTGTAAATGACGTGTGTATTTTTATGTCTAAGATGTCTTTTTATATTTGTGTTTAACCTATGTTTATCTCAAATAACATGATGCAGAATTTGTGTAATATAAATTATTTGTATTTTAATGTGTATTAAAATAGTCTTATGCATAGGTTTTAATTGTCAATGTATGTTGTGTTCTATTTGTACCTTTAATGTTTTAATTTGTAAACATTGTATGATTATTTTCAAATAAAGATACATCTAAAGGGTCAGTCGAAACATGCGGGGGTCCGAGCGCTACCTGTTTAGCGCGCATATAAATAGGGCGCCGTTCGGCGCAACACCAGTCGCATCACAGCTTCTACCGAGACCACACGCACGCGTTTTGACTGACCCCGAGGAATTGCACAATTTAATTTCAAGTGTTTCTCTTGGGCGATTTTCCTGCGTTTTTGGTCGTAGCAAAATTGGCTACTCTTTTGTGGGTCCTGGATCGGTGTTACCGGCGCAAAGTGAGGTCCGAGTTGCGTGCCGCAAGGTGCAAAACGAGGTCCCTTACTTTATCTTATTATCACCGGTCACCCAATTGGGAGCTTGTCCCAGGCAGCGAGTAGGTAGTGCCTTCACGGGTGCTACCTAGCTTCAAGCAGCCGAAACAACTTTTGTACATTCGTTAACAATAATTTATTGTAAAATATTCTTCATTTAGAAATAGCAAATCAGGTGTTAATAGTAAAGTAAAGATACAGTGTGTATTTCAATTGAATGACAAATGAATGGTATCATATGTAAGGAGGTGACCTGGTGACCTCGGCCAACTCGGTCAAACACAGTGTACCGCGGCCTGTAATCTTGCTGTGTAATTTTGTTGCATTTGTTTCACGCATGTCCAAGCCCTGCACTGGCCGTTGAAATAGCCTACTGCGGTATAACTTAATACGATACGTTTATGTTACCGTAAACTTGAAACAGAGCTATTAAATGGTCAGAATTTTAATAATACACTTTAACTATTTATTAACTTGTCCTAATTTCATTGAAATTTGTAAATATATATAAGACAGGTATATCCCGAAAGTTTTTTTTTAACAATTAGCAATTTTTTTTGTCAATTTACTAAAATTTCTTGTACCATTCCAACTAAGCTCTAGGCTTGTGCTATTATATGGTTTAGGACATTATTCGAGTGGCGGAATTCAAACCCCCGAACTTGTGATCGGAAATCCGTACCCTCAACCATTAGGCTATTGACGCTTCATTTGTTTTCCTTTGTATCGGTCCCATGATGTAATGGTCAAAAGTTGATCCGCTTATATGTTTCGTTTTGTTTTAGTGGAGAATAGAGATCATGTTTTTATTCCACTGTTAAATAAGTCACACGATATTGTTGTACGATCTTTAAGCATATTGTATATGATCTTCTTATATTGTTTGTTTTGCAACTTAACAGGATTGTTTATTTGTTTTATAGTAAGTTGATTTGTTCAGGCTGGCTCGGGGCGTTACCCTCATCACAAGTCAGTGAGTTTCTTACAGCCGTGCCGGGGGCGCTGTGTACTTAAGTGTTGAGCCAAAAGGCTTAGATGTAGTTAACTATTTTAATTTCGCGAAAGTATATGAATGTAATGTAAAATTCTTGGAAGCGAATTCCTTTTATTCGCTTCGAAAGATACTGAGTTCTTTAGTTTTATTTTATTGACGATTTTCGCCCTATTTTACAACTGGTTTCCTCTCAAAATGTAAACTTTTACGATATTAAAGAGCTTTAAATATTTAGACGAAATATAGTCTGTAAGCCTGTCGTACTTTCTTTTTATTTAT